GTAATTTTTCTAAAATCATTTTATCATTTCTATTTATTTTAAAATTTTTATTTAATTTCGTTACTAGACTCCGATATCAATTATAGGTAAAAATGTGGAAAATAGTTAAAATATGAAAATAAGGGTATAATAGACCATTCATTTTAATATTTAATTCTCTGATCTTGACTGTTTGTCACCTTTCTGGACAAGTAGCATTATGCATGAATAAAATGGGCAAGCAGCCACACGGGTGTTGTCTATCAATTTTTCCCTGTAGTTGGAGAAAAACTGTAATTTAGAACTTCTAGACTTCACCAACCAATGGAAAGGGGGCAGAAAGTCAAAAATGGCCTACTAACTATTGCTGCATTCCATGAGAAGTGCTCCAGGAAAGAATCACACTTTTTAAGAATTGAGACAGGAAAAACTCATGGTGAATTAAAATCAGAATATTAGTAAATTTTAATAAAAATGGTAGATCTGATGAAATGCGTGACTAAAATTAATTGTCAACTTTGATTTAGATTAAAATCTCAATTTTAATTTCTACCAAACAAAAATTAAATAAAATTATTAATTTATCGAACATTCATTTTTTTTCCTTTGATTTTACTCAATAATTTATTTTAAGTGCTCCATGGAAAATTAGAGATAAAATCCCAATGTTTATTTAAGAAAAACAACCATTGATACATAGTTACATGAAGTCTCATATTACGTATAAATTCTTTAAAACTCACTTTTAATTACGGATAATATAATTTTGTACACGATTCAATAACTTTTTTTTCTACTTTTTAATCACAATTCTCAAAATAATCAATTTTTCACAAATCAAATTCTTAAAAGATCTACATCAAACATGAATTTTAAAAATAATTCTTACTTTAATTTTTACAAAAAAAAAAAAAATTTCTTACTCGTTTTCAACCACACAATCTTACAGTACCCACATTACATGCACAAAAAATTCTTTCTAATTTTTGCCAAACAGGAATTAAAATGAATAAGTTAATTATTATCAACTTGCCTATTAAACTATGCATTAATTTAGATGTGATAAAATCGAAAAATACACAAGAAAATAATACATAAAATATTTATTCATTAACTCGCCTAGCACCACTAAACTACAATAGCTGCATAGTAAACATACTTCATATACACGTAACTAGATTGACGGAGAAATCGAACAGTATTAAGAAGAAAAATAAAAACTTCGTACTGCCAAAGTCCGTCTAATTTCATGTACCAAACGCGCCCTTACCTAAAAACTTACATCTGATTCAAAGAAGAGAACACGAGTCTCTTGAAGCTGAACTCCGTAGCCTTTTCCCCTTCAAATCCATTCCCATTCGCACAGTCCAATCCACAACCACACTGTGGGCTCTCCTCAAAATTATCAATCGGGAAATCAGCAGAAACGATCCCAACTGAGAATTCCAATTCATCGCCATCTCGAGTAACCTCCACAATATTCAGCCAAAAGAACAGTACTTTCACTTGAATCCCTTTCAGATCCGTAATCTTGTCCTTCGATATAGTCCCTGTGATTTTCGTCTTGTACTTCAGATTGTAACCATCAATAGTGAAACTGCAAGTTTCGTTCAAGTAAACAGTGAATTCTCCGGTGGAAGTGTCCAGTTCATAGCTGGTTACTGCTTTTGGAAGAAGACCCACCGGGAAGTCGTACTTCTGCAAAACCTCGTACGCTGTCAGCGAGTCGTCGGCGCCGATCGGCGGAGAGAAAAGGGTCAGGGATATGATGAGGAGGCATGTGATTATTGGTATAGACATGGGAGTTACAGGTTAAGGATAAGGTATGGCAGCGGAGTTGAGTACAGCCGTAAAGAGTTTTGGTTGGTTGAGTATTTAAAAGTAGAATGGTGTAGGATGTGGTAGGTAGTTCAAGTTGTATGTCGAGAAATTTTCCAACCGACTTCGATTTAAACGAGGGGCGTAAATTTTTTTTTTATAATCGTGGATGTTCGGACTCACTTACGCGCACTTCAACTAATCTCATGGGACTTTGAAATTTACGATCTGGGACTCATAACTTACACAATCTTACATTTCATCAACTTTTATTAAAATCTACTAAAATTCTTATTTTATTCCCCACCAAACGACTTAATTTTTAATACGGTATATGTCGAGTTACTATTTGGTATAGTTCAATATATTAGTCAACATGATGCAATATGCGCTGAGGCTAGAGACCATGTATTTCATGGATTGATATCTAGATGATACTGGAGTTAAAAAATTTCCACTCTACATATGTTTAATAAATAAATAGAAATTTATATTGGAAAGTAAATTTATATTTTGATGAAAAAATTTCGTCTAAATGAGTTTCTGAATCTTGATGGGGTTCTACATGGTTGGTTTTTTTTAATCTGTAAATGTGAAATATATTGATCAAAACCATGTACAAGTACACCGAACATTCTCGAGCAATCACTAGTCAAGTACGCAGAACAAGTACTCCAGACATACCTAGACGATCAGAAATCAAGTACGCAAAACAAAACAAGACAAGTATTCCGGGCATACCTAGACAAGTATTCCGGGCATACCTAGACAAGTATTCCGGGCATACCTAGACAATCATGGTGTCTATTTTTTCTGTCATGCAAGTTTGATGAAGTTCACGTCAACTTGTATTTAAGAGGAGTTTTTTAAACACGATCTAATTTACTTACATAACAATTTTTTAAGCAATTCACGGTTGCATTGAGATGATCTAAGCCCCCGATTCGTCAATTATTATTTTCAAATTTTTTTTTATGCACTCATTTTTAACCACACATTCACACAATAAAATATTCCACGTAAACTAAAAAAAATTTCATACTTTTTAACTACATATTTTTTAAAAAATAACTATTCAAAATATTATTTTTTTGAAAATAATGGGCAGATGTTCTAGCCGGACTTTTGGACTTTCATATTTTATTTTATATTTAAATTTTGAATTAAATAAAATTCTAAATTATAAAGGATAAATTGGTGTAGATGTGGTAGTTGGATGGGGTGGAATTTTCGTACTCTTTTAAAACACGCAACTTTACCTTGGATATTTCTGCCACGTTTTGCAGGTAGGAGTGTTAGAATTTCTCAAACCAATGCACGTGCATCACGAAAAACATTAACGATAACTTGAAACTTTTTCTTAAGTTGCAAGTCAACATTTTAAGCTTGACCAAAGACCTTTTGATGCCAATATGAGTTACGTATCAATTTTAGTGAAAAATAGACAGACACGTAGAGCCGCATTTTTTGGTTAAAAATGTATTTAGGAATAATAGATTGATGGAGAATGTATGATTAAAAAAAAAGAAAAAATTTAAATTTACGTGTTATATTATTTTATTGAAGAATGTATGATTGAAAAGAAAAAAAGAGAAAAAAATGTATTTTGAAAATAATGAGAGTCAAACGATGGCTCAATAACTTTTACATGTACAGATGAGCCGTGATTTTTGATATTGACATCTAAGCCCACGCATGCTCTTGCGTAAGCAATTAAAAATGTTACTCCAAGTATTTATATTTTATGAAAAATATATGGGAATATTCCCCAGAATATTAGTATAATTGGTTTATGTTTTGGAAAATTACCCATGCGTTGTAATTTTATCCAAGAAGAAATTAATCGTGGAAGATATGTGAGAGCATACAGAGTACGAGTAGGCATTGGGCCTAAAC